CCTCCGCGCCCGCCTGGCGGCTGCTGTTGCCGCTACGCTCCCGCGGCTCGCACTGCAAAGCCACCCGGACCGCGCTATCGTACTGGGGAGGGAAAGCGCGGTGCGCTCGCACGTCTCCCGGAGATAAAGATCGCAGCTTCATGATTAACTTGGGCAGGTTCAAATATTTGCTGAGCTAGGGATTTCGGGAGGGGGAGGGTAAGCCCAAGTTAAAGTCAAAGTTGTCATCGGCTCACAAGTGGCCAATGCAAGACCAGCCTGCTCATTTTCGCGAGGAAATGAGAAGCCCATTGTAAGGGGACTGAAAATAGTCTCGCTGGCGGCGGGCTCCCGGCTCAGGTCGCTGGCAGTGAGGCCAGGCGCTGTGCACGGCCCAGCACAGGAAGTGGCTGAGCTAGTTCAGCAGAAAATAGAATCAAAGCCTCGCTTGTCAAGGCCTGAACCTCTTGGAACAGCCCGGAACACCGAGGCCGGTTGGTGTCCACCCCACCTCCACCTCCCACACACGCGCAGGCCGCCTGCCCTGCAGGTGTAGCCGGAGAGCCCCAGAGACCCAGCCTGGCGCTCACTCACGGGGGCTCGCACAATCAGAGTGGAGCCTCAGTACGCCACCGGAGCTGCTCCGGGCCACTCGACAGCATAACCATGAAGAGATTAAGAAAAAGCAAAGCACAGCAGCTATGTTTATGAGGTTAACTGCAACCCTCGTCTAAATGGCTATATGACTTTCTAATAATCAAGAGGTGTGTCTGTACTAGGTTTACATCCTGGCTCCAGGGGGCAAGAGAAGGCTTTAGATTTCTATCCTTTCCTTGAGAAAGCTGCAATGAACCAGACTTAAGACTGCTGGCCACTCTTTAAAGAACTACGATCTTTCCCACAAAAAAGACAGTTCTAGCTGTATAATACCCTAACACAATGCATAATCACTGCATGCCTAAACTCGGAAACCTGAAAGTAATTTGGAGATCACTTCAACAATTCCTTCATGCTACAGAAAAACCAACCCCACCTTCTGAGGTTTGGTCCTGAACCTCTCCACCCACTGTCTCTGCTCCTTACTTTCTTGTGCCAGAGAAAGTCAAAAGTGACAAATGAAATGGAAGGTGGTTTGTTTTCAGCCACATGCAAAAAAAAAATTTCACACCTCACCCAAACTCTGGCTCTTCCTGTTTTCTATTGTCGGCTAAAGTTTAA